GATATACATTACAACAAAAAACAAAATTCAAATGAAAAAAATATACTATTGCAAAAATATATATATATATATCATATATTTCAAATGTATTTGATATAAGTGAAACTTTGCATGAACCTATTAAACATATACGTTTAAAAATCCTTGCGCGAAAACAATCAAATATATATCATAATCAAATAACGTTACTAATATATCCAAGACACATCAAAATATAAAATAATCAATCAAACACATGCGTTTGAAAACACTTGCACGTTCAAAGAACAATCATTAGAAAAAATATTATTACTCCAACATTTATTTTACCAATTTCTCAATTACAAAAAAACGATCTCGCGAAACATATATCACAACAATAAGCCCTACAAAACTAGTAGAAGTAACATGTTGTGTTTGTGATGAATTGGTATTGCAAATTCATATTCATAAATACTCAGCGTACGATTCAAATATTTTAAATTGTATGCATAAATATTTACATAATCATGAACCTTCATTTTATTTCGATCTTATTCAGCATTATGATTGTAGTGATCTATGTCCTTTGCTAAAAAATCTTATGTTATCTAAAAAAGGTATCAATATTGAAACAAATCAAAATATAACAGTGAACATATGGAGGAATGTAACAATGCATTATTTAATCCACGTCGACGAAGGCATTTACCAAAATTTGCGATTGTAAATCATTTTTTCATTGGTAGATTACCACCATCTTTACAACAAGCTACTTGGCCTGGATTATTAGTGACAAGCTTAACAAATATACTTGCACAAACAAGAATCATACGAGGAGGAATGCACCGTTCAATACGCTCTCATCTGCTCGTATTCGAAGCAATCTCAGGCCTAACTGCAACTTTACTACCTAAATCAATAACAAAAGATACGCTTTACCGAATAATTTTAGCAGGTCCTTTCACTGATATACAACTTACACGAATAAAAAAACTTCATTGTATGCGACATTCGATAATCGAAAACTTACTCATGTTCTGTATTAAAAACAATAATTTCTACTCTCACGTAAAATTCGACAAAACACAATTAGATACTATCCCTACTAATGATCCTATATACATTCCAGATGATATAATTAAAGATTTTTCACTTAAAGCTACTTATGCTAATGAATTAGATGATGAACAAGATGGTTTAAATGCACCTAAAAAAACTTCCAACAAAAACACATACATCGAAAAATCAATTATTTTTTCACATGAAGTTGCACCAATGGACAATGACATCGAAAACTCAATAGTTGAACAATTATAAAAAATAAATGATCATAAACTTATTTTTGCAATCCATACATCATCAAAATTTGCAAAATTGTTTGACCCTCACTTAGAAATAAAAATGTTTCCACATTTATTTCCATATGGCCGAGTACATTCAAGAGAATCGAAAAGAGGAATGTAAGTTTCACAACAACTATGCACGCAACATTATTTTTTATTAAGTGATCGAGAATTTGTACAAGATCCATACTATAAACCAGTAAATTTTGATTGTTTTTCACTCGACCGTAAATATAAACTTTCAAATATCACTTGTAAAAAACAGCCACAACTACATCAACCCATTGTTGAAATTACAACTGACATGTTAAAAATTGGCCTAAAAAATGCTCGACGACGTCGTTGAGGTCATACTGTACCCAATGATGATCCAACTGTAAGACAATTACTTCAACGTGTCGAATGTGCTTCTTCACATGTTTGGGGAAACAATGTCGAAGACGTACACGACGTCAATAAACATTTGCAACCTGCGATGGCTTCAGTCAACCAAGTTTTTTTATTACATTAACACCTAATACAGATACAAAATAATTGATATTAATGAATATTGCAATATTTTTGTAGAGAATCCTCATATAGACACAGAACAACTTAAGAAATTATCAATGGCAGATAATATTGCATCAGCACGTCTCTTTGACCGATTAAGACTATCTTCTTACATGATATTCTTGGTTTCGATCCTACTACACATAAAAGCGAACCCAAAGGAGGTTTATTTGGTAATGTCAGAGCATATTTTGGAATGGTAGAAACATAAGGATGAGGAATACTACATTTACATGCACTTGTTTGACTAAGAAATACACCATTAACAACTCTTCAATTTGACAAATTACAAACTTATAATATTAAATTTAGCAAATTAGTAACACAATATGTTAATAGCATTGTAACAACACGTGAAGCTCAAAACATTCCATTACTTTCTTGTTCAGAATGTCATGCCCCACCACCATGTTATGCACCATATCCAATTCATTCGTCGGCGCGTTGTTCACCACTTTCAAAAAAACGTCCCAAATCAGAGCATGAGCCTGCAAGCTTAAAATATACACATTGTAAAACAGTTTTCAGTTCACAACACACACTTTGCCAATAAATTTTAGAATCTAGGTCATCACTCGGATATGACGAATTATCTGATTTAATATTGCAAAAGCCAAATGTATTCGTATGATTGATGATGTGTTCCAAACACATCCTATAAGTCAAACTATCATAGCAATGCCTCCACATTATTCTTCTTTCTCTTCAACGCTGCCCGCACTTCTTTCGAAAAAACACAGATGAATAAAACTGAAGAAATATGTCGATACCTTTTTCTACTGAACATTGTGAAAAAACTACATTACATGAAACAGGAATTGAATTAGCAGGCACACTTGGAGTTGAATACATTAATGCTTATAACAATATAATCTTATCAAGTTATAAATGTAATCATGATATTCAACCTCTTTCTGGTGGTGTCGAAGCAGCAAAACGAATATTTTACTATTGTAACTACGCAACAAAAGATCAACATAAAGTTCATTGTAAAATCGCTATTCGCTTAGCTGCTTTTGACGCAAGACAAAGCAAAAAAAAAATAACCGAACAAGAAACACTCATTTCAGTTGAAACAAAAACTCGTCACCGTTTATCATCTCAACTCTTCACTATGACTAATAAACAAGAAATCGCAGACTCACTTTGTGCACTATATCTATTAAGACAATCTTGTGTTTATCAAAGTCATACACATAAAACAATTCATTTATATAACATGTTAAAACAATTACTAAATGACAAAGAAACTATCTGTTCTTTAAAAAAAATAAATAAAACATATATTGTTTCTTATCCACTAGACGATTATATCTATCGTCCGAAATCACTCATAAACATGTCTTTATGCGAATTTGTTATGCAATTTTATCGATATAACAAATCTTCTACATCAGAAACTAAAGAAGATTTCTTACCTGATCATTCATTGTATGAACAAAAATATTTAAATAAATACAAATATCAATGTACACCTGTAATTCCTTATTCTATGCGTATTCCTTATTTAGAAACGTGCACAGATGAAGAAAATAAAGTATGACATGTTCAAATATCCCTTCTATTGTTCAAACCATTTCGCAAATTATCATATTGAATACATAATAATCAAAATTCGCATGATGAATTCACTTCTTTTTACGAAAATATGCCTACATTTATTCATAACATATATTTACAGATGCAAAATTACCACATTGCACGCGAACGTGCAAACGAAACACAAAAAAACAGACCAACTCAATATGCAGAACATGAAAGTGACAACGAAAAGTGAGATTCCTCTTCAGAACAATCAACAAATAATAACTCTTTCTTTTTTACTGCATTAGATGATTATATTTCGTATAATACGTCAGATGAAGATAATGAAAATGTTAAAGATTATGTTCCAATGATTCATTCAAAATCAATAAAAAAACAAAATAATTCATATCAAATTTCAAAATTAATGACACCATCTATCAATCAAACATTAAAAACATATAATACATTACATAATCGAACTTCATTTTCAATGGTAATTTATATAGAACAAAAAATCCCATATATTAATATTGCTCTATCATGGATAAAAACAAAACCATCTAATATATGCGAAATACCCATTAAATTGATATGTTACCTTCTGAAAAAAAAAATATATATATATATTAAAAAATCTATGAAAGAGCAAAGGCTGAGGCCTAAGCGGTCGCTCAACTACACAACAATCTCCATGCAATGCATTTGCATGAAGAATATTGCGTAGTGGAGCCAGACCCCTGGTCAGGGATTGTTTGCGACTTGGCAAAAATCTATTGGCAACTGGCCTCTCGGGAAGAACAGTGACAAACCCATCTCATGACATCTGACGACAATTTTGTCCACAACTTAGCGCATCTCACGACAATCACGCCCAAAACTTAGTAAAAAAAATGCTTCGCCAAGGTAGCCCGGGCTCGAGAAAAAGCCTCGCTCCACTACACAACACTCTACATGCATTTACATGCCTTCTAGTCTTGCATGGTCATCCCCGCAGCCCCCGAGGCTACAATCTCCTATGCCCTGGCTGCGCCCCCGCGCCCCGCGCGGTTACAGTGCGTGTGTGCCACGAGAGAGAGAGAGAGAGAGAGAGAGAGAGAGAGAGAGAGAGAGAGAGAGAGAGAGAGAGAGAGAGAGAGAGAGGCTCCATGCCCCTTGAGTCGTCCAGTCCATGCTTGCCGGACCATCCTCACCTCGGTGTTGCAATCTATCCACTCACATATAGTCGGAATACGTGCAGGGGCAGTCTGCTCAGACACATTTTCTCACCTTTTTTTTCAATAATTCTTACGGATTTCCGAACCTGTTTTCATTCCTGACCCACCGGCCTGGAATGAAAACCCCTTCAGCGATGAGAAAGAATACCTCGCACAGTTGATGGCCAATGAGAAAGATCTACCGTCCTACTATTTGCACGGCAACAACATTAGGACGTCCGACTCCTTCGCTATCTGCGGCTCAAAAACCTGTCACACACACGAACTGTCCTCATTTTCCCGGGAATCCCTCACAATCAACCCGGAACGACACAGACAGCACTGGGACTTTGCCGGGGAACGGGCGTCCCTTACAAATATATGCGGTCCCGTGGTAACTTCAGAACGAATTGCGCGCGCGCCGGCGCGAAAGTTATCGCAAAGACCGTCCCATGGGAGAGAGGAAAAAGAAAGTGGGAGGCTAGCTATTTCCCGGGCAGTTGGCGCCATAGCTGCGTACGAGCTAACTGTCTCGCTCTCTCTCGCTCTCTCTGAGGACGAGTTTATTCCCGCCAGCTTATTCTTGAATGAATTTTTGTTACGTTATGGCGTTTTGGCGCCTTGTATGAGCGGATATCTATATCTATATATATATTTGTGACGATATATATGTATACTAGTAATAATAATACTGCTGTTTGACGGTATATATGTATATATACATGTATAGTCCGTGTTGATCGGTTCGACGAAGTCGACGGTGTGTGTGCGTCCGAAGTACCCAACATGCGGCTGGTTGCGTGGAGAGTGTGATCAAGAGTGTGATCGGCAGTATTGCGCCCCCCTCCAACCTCCTCAACGCCTTCCCTCCCCACCCTCCCCACTCACCGTTCCCCCCCTCTTTCCCTAACAGAGTCCCTCTTTGTCGCTGGGGTGTCCTCTCGATTTGAGCTCGCTGTTGACTGTTCTATGCGCACTGACTACAAGGGAAGTGCTACGTGGAGACGCGCAGTATAGCGCAGAAGGAACTGAAGGAAAAAGGCAAACGAGTCAAGGAAATAACTAAAGGCCGGCGGAAGGACCGAAGGATAAGGAAGGAAGGAAGGAGGGAAGGAAGGGAGAGAAAAGAGCAAGGAGGAAAGACAGGACAGCGAAGGAGGAAGAAACAGATTTGAGAAACGAGAAGAAGGAAGGAAGGAAGGAAGGGAGGAAGGAAGAGGAAGGGACAGACTCAAGGAACAGAGGAGGAATCAAAGGAGGAAGGAAGGGAACCAAAGAGGGAAGGGAAAGGACGAAGGAAAAACAGGAAAGAAAGGAGGAGGAGGACGGGAGTTGTAGGAGGAGGAAGGAAGGAAGAGGAGGAAGAAGAGGAAGTACTGAGGAGGAAAGGAGAAAGGTAGGAGGAGGAGGAAGGAGGACGAGAAGGACGTAAGGAAGAAAGAGGAGGAAGGGAAAGAAGGGAGGAGGAAAGGGAGTAAGGAATTGGTGGAGTGGAGTCAGTGAAGAAGCGAGGATGATGTATCGGATTGCTGATGCGTCACAGTTCTATGTGCTCACCGGAGCGGGAATAGATGATGTGAAAGTCTACGAGGACGGGGCAGCGATCGTGCTCCCACCGTTTCGGAAATCCATCGCGGTGCAGAGGCGTCCGCAGACGTTCACGATGGACATCAAGGTGGGCGCTCGCTAATGCACGACCGTGAGCGTTTTGCCCTTTTCTTTTGAAATTTTACTTTCGTAATTTGCCATTTTTTTTTTTGTGTGTGTGCTCATCATCTCCGATAATTTCTTAAGGTTTCGGGACCTCGCCACACTACTCACGAATGTGCAAAATGAGATTGAATCTTCCGCTAGAACGCGGAAAGATACACCCGCCATATTTTGCTCCTTTTCACATTTTGGTGAGCGGTGCGGCGAGACCCTTGGTCTGGGAAAACAGTCGAGTACGACGGGTGCTTTCACTTCTTTCTGTTTTCCCTAAAGATCTGTTTTGTTTTCGAAGAGTTGTTACACTACCACCGTGGAGAGGACCTTCTACCTCTATCCCAAGGGGGAGAGACCCGACGAGTTCGAGCTGCAAATGATAAGCCCAGGACAGATCACGAGTTCAAACCCTGGGCCAGCTGATACTTGGGAGGATTCTCGATATCTGTCCTGAAGTTGCGTGCACATTCAGTCAGGATCAACTCCTGGGGTGTTTGTGGACAGCTAGCGGTGGAGGATCTGAACTCCTGACCTGTTTGTCAACAGCTGCATGAACGGACTGTTCGAGAGCCGAACTCGTTTACCAGAAGATACCTTCATTGTGTGGCGTATATCATTAGGACTTGAACTCATCGGGTGTCTTTCCCCAAGCCACCTACCTTCAGGAGAGAGCTGTAGAGATTACCTGATCTATATCTCTAACCTCTGACCGCCGAAACTCATGTCATCTGGCACCGAGACAAGCAAAACACCAAATCATGCACAGTTTATAGGAAGGGTGGTATGTTATCCTGCACAGTATATAGGAAGGGTGGTACAACGAGAGCATGCTCTGATCTGCCCTGGTAGTAGCCCTGGCCGAGCAGTTAAAAAAAAAAAAAGACAAATGAAATGAACAGATAAATGGATAAAAATAAATAATTAGAAAGTTGAATTAGGAAAAGACGAGACTCAAGGTTCTCGTCATCGGGCTGTGTGGCGGTTTCAACACGATCTGTCCATATCATAAATGAATAAATAAATATAATCAGAAATAAAGCAATAAATATATAATAAAGGGATAATCTGCGAAGTTGAGTTATATGCGAAAGGGGCCTTAAAAGACACATCTTAAGTGGAATGCCCTTGGAACAAGACAAAACTTTGTGAGATACCCCTCGCATCAGTTGGACCTGTCATCTTTTCAATATACCCCTACCGAGTACTGTCCAAGTTTTCAGAATACCCCAATAGTTGTCAACTTCCCATGGGCCTACTTGATCTTCGAAATGCCCCTAGTGGCCTCCGTCATGCTTTCGTTTTGCTCCTCTTGCCGGCGGAGGGGCTGATAGGACCAGCACCTCTCTTCTCTATAGCGTGCTCACGCGCGCACCTCGGCTCTCTCTCTCTCTCTCTCTCTCTCTCTCTCTCTCTCTCTCTCTCATTATGTCGCGCATTCATATATCTGAAGAGCGTAGTTCAAACGCGTGTATGAAAACGCTATACACACGCAGACCGAGACAGACAAACACCCACCCACCCACACACACACACACACAGAGAGAGAGAGAGAGAGAGAGAGAGAGAGAGAGAGAGAGAGAGAGAGAGAATAGCCCGCATGTCTGTGTGCACTTTTCTTATTTTTTGCGTATGAGAAAGGGAGAGAGAGTAGCCGGCATGTGTGTGTGAGTGTGGGTGTGGGTGTATGAGAGAGAGAGAGAGAGAGAGAGAGAGAGAGAGAGAGAGAGAGAGAGACTGCCGGCGTGTTTGTGTGTGTGTGCACGAATTGGACAGCCACATTGCCGTGTTTGTGCGTGTGTGCACGAATTGGACAGCCACATTGCGACGCTTATGGGCCTGGGTATTGCGCAAAGTTGCAGGCCCACCTGGCCTCAACACTAATGGGTAATAGGTGGTGTCATTTTCGGCGGATTTTTCGCCGAGACTGCCATATTTCCCTTCTTTGTGTGGTCTGTATGAGCCTTAGGGTATATCTGTATTCAGTTTCTCGCCCTATTTGGGCCAGTAACGGAAAAATTGGCAAAAACACTGAACTCGGTGAAAAAAATGGCCAACTCGGAAAGCTATTCCGAATAGGGTTTTATAGTGCTTTCGAGTTTTTATTTTCCGTTTTTTTTTTGCCTGTTTGTTTTTTGGGAAAATTTTCGAAATGCCCCCGAAGCGTTTATTTGCGGCGTGCCCCTGTGAAGGCCGACTTACCCTGTGGTGCCCCTCGGGCCTCTGAAATTTTCCGCAGGCCCCTGTCAGCATGGGGCGTAACTTTCCCATATGCCCCTACTGGACAGCTGGCCCTACTGGACAGCTGGTGGCGTTTCGTGGGTCCATCCTTGAAATGCCCTCACGAGGGGCACACATCTTTCTGTGATGCCCTTGCAGCAGTGGAAGTCTTCGAGTCCGCCGTTCCGCGTCGGTGATCGATGAGTTGGAGTGCATACAGCTACAGTGCGAAGGGGAGCGTGCACGCACATGTGTGTCCATGCTCATTGCCCTCCTCCCTCCTCCTCCATCCATGCGCATCGCCCTCCTCTCTCCTCCTCCTCCTCCTTCCTCGTCCCTCTCCTATCTTCTCGTCCAGCCTCCATCCTCTATCCTCGTCCGAGTCCTTGTCCTCCCTACTCTTCCCCTCCTCTTCCCTCGCTCCTCCCTCCTCCAACTTTCTCCTCGTCACCCCTCCCTCTGCACCTCCTCCATTGCCGTCTTCTTGGCGTCGTCGCCCATGCAGGTGTGCGCGTCTGCATGTGTGTGTGTGTGTGTGTGTGTGTGTGTGTGTGTGTGTGTCCATGCTCCTCCTCCCTCCTCCTCCATACATGCTTATCGCCCTCCTCCCTCCTCCATCCATGCTTATCACCCTCCTCCCTCCTCCTCCATCCATGCTCGTCGCTCTCCTCTCTTCTCCTCCAKCCTCCATMMTCTATCCTCRTCRGCTCCGTCATCGTCATAGTCTTCGTCCTCCCTACTCCTTTCCATCCTCTTCCCTCGTTCCTCCTCTTCCCTCCTCTTCCCTCGTTCCTCCCTCCTCCAACTTTCTCCTTGTCACCCCTCCCTCTCCTCCTCCTCCAACTTTCTCCTTGTCACCCCTCCCTCTCCTCCTCCTCTATTGTCGACCTCCTAACCATCACCATGGCTGTCTTCTTGGCATCATCGCCCATGCAAGCGCGCGCGTCTGTATGTGTGTGTGTGTGTGTGTGTTCTGTGTGTGTGTGTTTGTTCTGTGTGTGCGTGTGTGTGTTCTGTGTGTGTGTGTGTTTGTTCTGTGTGTGTGTGTGTGTGTATGTGTGTGTGTTCTGTGTGTGTATGTGTGTGTGCGCGAGTGTATGTGTGTTGTGTGTGTGTGTGTGTGTGTGTGTGTGCGTGTGTGTGTGTATATGTGTGTTGTGTGTGTGTGTGTGCGTGTGCGTGTGTGTGTGTGTGTCCATGCTCATTGCCAAATTTCTGATATGCCCCGGTAGCATCTCTCCCGGGGCAAGAGGAAAGACAGTGACTGTCAACAACGGCCACAGGGGCTCGCTGGAAACATGGACGGTATCAATAAGGGCATATGGGAAACTTTTGTGCTGGTTCTCAACGGCCATCCGGCAGGGGCATACTGAAAATTTGGTACTGGTACGGGTAGGGGCATATGAAACATTTTTCAGACCCAAACGACGCCAGGGTTTTTCTGGAAACATCCTTCGTGGTCAGAGGGGCACGACATGGTAAGTCGGCCGTCAGAGGGGCACGCTGCAACTAAACGCAAACTTTAGGGGCATTTCAAAATTTTTCCCTTGTTTTTTTGATGTTTGTATTGCATTGTTTGTTTGTGGAATTGCTTGTGGTGATGCGGCGAAAACCCTGAATTTTGGGCCTTGATCTCTCCCCAGATTGCAAATCAGCGCAGGTCTGACAGGCCTGACAGGAGCTTATTATAAATATAAAGTATTCAGGCTGATAGGGCATTCCGCACTACCCACATCTTCTTAGGGGCATTTTGGCTTATACATCATCTTTGGGGGGTATATAACAAAAAATTCCATAAATAAACAAATGATAATACTGGCATGCACGAATCGAATCTCTGACATTTACCAGGGATCCAGCAACGTCCGGGGGGAAAGGGCATGAGGCAGGCCACGAAAAATAAAATAAAAAAGGGGGACCTCCACATTTGAAATTCAAATTTTGAAGTACGGCCGTGGTGACGAAGACGACGTTCAGCTTGCGGCGCGCAGACGGTGCAGGGCTGAATCGGCCTTAGTGGCGGTGTCCCTTCCGTCCACCTCCTGGTCAGTGTACGTGCGTGCACCGGGTGCGTCTATCGTCGTTGAGATTCTCCTCCACATTGTCCACGCCATCACACGCAGTTCCGCCAGGGGGACGGCATCCACGGAAAGGTGGCAGCTTCTCCGACCTCTTCTTTGGGGGTGAGCGGGTTACGTCTCTGGGGTGCAAGGATCGAGACAGTAGCGGAGAGACTCCATCCGTGATGGCGATGGACGGTGGTGGAGAGGGTGGACGTGTGCCGTTGACACCGCTTGAGCGGGCAGCCGTGGCGGCGGCCGTGCCAACCGTTGTTCTTTGTTGTCAGCAGGAAAGGGCGCTGGGATGAATCAAGGAGAAGTTGCGCGCGCGTAGAAGAAGGATGTTGATGCAAGCTGCGGATATAGGCCCCGACTACGTGGCATCTTCAGAGGCTGTCATTGAGTTGTGCTACACGTTGGGTTGTGGCGTCATTGCATGAGCGACACCGAGGAGGTGGATCAAACGCAGGATGGGGGGGATGTGGGAAGACTTTCAACAATGCAACGACGCCATGGATGACTCCTTAAACGAGAAGCAGCACAACGCCGGGGAGCAGCAGAGGGACCCCCAGAAGCAGCACAGCGCCGGGGAGCAGCAGAGGGACCCCCAGAAGCAGCACAGCGACGTGGAGTAGCAGAGGGAGCCTGTGGTACAGGTTGGTCATGAACTGCATGGTGGAGAGGGCAGCAAAGG